CTTTACACTCACATGATGGAACAATTGTTGTCATATTCCCTACTGGGTACATATGGTACTCGGGCACACTTGTGACATATGGTGGGTAAGCGCAAACTATAGGCACTGGGGTCTCACTTTTCTTACCGCCGGCCGTTCATCCTTCTTACCTCCTTCCTTTTTTTCCCCACACGCGGGGTCACGCTTACCAGTCGGCATACCCAACGCTCTTCTTCCTCAGCGACGTCGTGAGCCCAATGACATCCATACTCTCTCCGGTCACCTCTATCTTGTCCTGCCCCTGTAAAGCTGCTGCTTCTACCCCTGCATCCCACAAAAACAATTAGAAAAATATATATATTTTCATATTTGTGAATAACTTTGTAAAATTCATAAACTTTTTCATCAAACTGAGATTCATTTTTGTACTTTCAACTGAATTGTTATTTTCCCCATATGTTATTCAAACCAAAATAGGGAAGGGAAAGGGGTAGGTATGCTCTGGAAAGGGAAAGGGGTATGTAAACATTTTCCATAGTATAATTTTATATCAAATACTATCTCATATAACTAAACATATCATGAGTCATAAAATTAATCATAATTAAAAAAAATTAACATAATTAAAATTACATATAATACCTTTTTAAGGTTGTGCATAATAAAAAAGAGAGAGACTATCCCTCACCCTAAACTATGAGAAATATACAATCCCTCAAAAAAAGTTCTTGAAATTGTAAATGAAAACAGAGAGTTCGAGTTGGAGGGATCAAAGCTATGGTTATATATGTATATACCTTGAACACCAACTACTTTCTTGAGGGCTTTGGAGCGAGATTTCTGTCCATTCATGGAGACTTTAATAACCACCTTTTGCTGCAATTTAAGCAAAAAAACAAATTCAAATTAGCTTTTGTATATCTTGCATGACTCTATACTTCTTCTTTGTTACCAAAATACTACTACTTACCTTCATGGTGTTGGTTTGCTGCGAACTGTTGTGTGTGACTTACAAAGCTCGAAGCAGAGTTATATATATATATAGAGAGAAAGAGAGAGAGAGAGAGAGAGAGAGAGAGAGTTGGAAGCTTGGTGTTAAGTGGGAATGCCGTGTCTATCATGGCCGATCTCCTATTTATAGATCTCTGGAGTCTGGAGTGAATGAGATTAATTATGATCCGTTAGGTCTATTTTAATTAAAAAATTATCAAAAAATTTTCAATTCATACCATGTTTGTTTTGAAAAGGTGATGTAAGTTTAAAAAAAAAAGTTAAAAAGTGAAAAAAATTGATTTTTAGGTCAAGTTTGGGAACTTGTAAAAAAGTCAAAAAGTTACTCAAAAAGTTAAAAAGTTAACACTATGTACCAAAAATCAACAAATACGGCTGTACAACTCCCAATTCGAATTTTTCCTTACAGATCAATTTTTACAATTTTTTATTACACATTTTTTCATAAAAAGTCAAAAAGTTAACCCAAATATCCATATTTTCAACCATAATTTTTTAGTCTAAAAAGATAAAAAGTGCACTTATTTAGGATACTCCAAACAACCCCTTACTAACCAGTTCCCAAAATAAGCCAAAAATATTTAAAATTCATATTAATTTTTAATTTTTTTTTTTTAAAAATCACTAAAAATGTCACTTTCTAGACATGTCCTTAAAATGTAATACTTTACAAATTAAAGATAATTATACGAAAAATTATTGCATAAATTAATACATATAATAAATTTTGATCTTATCACTTTAAAATAAAATATTTATTTAAATGACTTATCATTTAGAAAATATCACTAATATATTTTCCTTCTATTTGTACTAGATTTGACATCCTAATGAGCGGTCATCAAAGCATCTCCAACAATTCAGTATTTTTTTCATCAAATTTAAGTAAAAAAATGACGATTTTCTCAATCTGATATGAATTGTTCCAAGGGGTACATTGAGCTTGCATCAAAAGGTAGGGACGTCCGACAGGACGATCGGCCGGTCGACCGGACAAGATTTTTTTTCTCCATGAGCAAGCTCTCATCACTGCTTCATATGTTACTTCTGGTAGTCGACCCCCCAGTATAAAATTTTCACAAATTTTTTGCTTTAAAGTGGTCATCTAGTGAGACATCTGGTCGGTCGTCCGATGGGTCCAACTCAACGGCTATGCACAGTGAATTTGTGAAAAGGGCAAGTCATCCTCAGTTTGGTGAAACGTTTGATGTTTTCTCAATCTGATACTGTTTTGGTGTAACCGTTGGAGCACAAAAAGCACCTCTTTTTCATCAAATTTGAATTTAGGCCCCGTTTGGAGATTTACTTTTTTAGCCAATTAGTCAAAAAGTTACTAAATTAGCCAAAAAGTCAACAACTCATACCAAAAAGTCAAAGATTCTCTTTTCTCTCTACTTTTTGCACATCTTTTCGTAATTAGCCAAAAAATAATCCCAAACATACAAGTTTTTTTTACCTACCTTTTTAGCCAAATAGCTAAAAAGTTACTAAATTAGCCTGTTCCCAAACGAGGCCTTAATGTTGAATTTGGTGAACGGTTAGAAATGGTCTCACATGTCCATTTGGTGACTTAGGCCTCATTTAAAAACATGCTTTTTTAATAATTTTTTGATTTTTTATTTAAAATATGATATAAAAAATTAATATGTTTGGGATGAATTTTTGATTTTTTTAAAAAAAAATGTGCAAAAAGTAGAGAGATAAATAAAATTTTGACTTTTTGGAATAAGTTGTTGGCTTTTTGATTTTTTTTTAATGACTTTTCACTTTCAGAAGATCATGAGAGATTCTCAGGAGGCTGTTGCTGTTTTCAAGACATAGCCACGATTTTCAGGAGGCTCCATAAATACAAGAATTGAAAAAATGGAGCAAACTCCAATCAATTCAACATTCATCACAACTTAGTATATAACTCAGTGTTATTTGTCCTTAGTTGAACCCTAATTCAATTTAGGAGTAGACTTGAAAAGTATCTTTACTATAGATTTAAAACAAGAGCTAAAAAGTCTTTTACCCATTTGAACCTCATACAACCTCATATTTTTAGAAGTCAACTTTTTCTAAGTACGTTTTCATCAACTTAGGTATTGTTGTCTTAGTACACTCACAAATCACCCAAAACATCCTAATTTTAACCAAAACTTATGTTTTAGTCAAAAAAATATATATTTTTAAATATTTTTTTGCACAAACACCTTCTTATTATGAATAACTTATACAAATTTTATAAATATATATTTTTTAAAGACAAATCATAACAAGTGTCCAAAGAGCATATTTAATATTTAAAATTTGTATAAAGAGTGATTTGAAAATAATAAATAAATAAAATTTAAAATCAAAGCCAACTGCTTTGAAGATATAAAATTGAGTTTTTTATTTTATTTTATTTTCTTATGTCCGATACACTTATTAAAAAGGTTCTTTTCTTTTCTTTTCATGATGAAAGTATTATTTTAATGAATAATGTTATATATACTAATTAATATATTAATTAGTGTATTAATTGATAATGTGGTATAATTTAAGAAGTTTTTGATATTTGTGATGTGATTAATGAGTAAGATCAATAATAATGTCATAACTAGTATTAGTACACTAGTTAATACATTAATTGATATATATAGCACCACCGTATTTCAATAGAGGCAAAGGCCATAGTACATTTTCATCAAAAAGAGAAACAAATTGATAAGGAAAATGTTGCACACTTAAAATAATTATCAAATTTTTTATCAATCTTTTTATATGAATATAAGATTTATACAAATTACATGTGTGTAAATTCTACACTTATATAAAAAGTTTAATAAAAAAATTTAGTAATTTATTTGGACATTAGCATAACTCAATTGATAAACGCAATCATTATTTGTTGAAATTAATTTAATAAAACGGTAATGTTACCTGCCCAAGAAAATGACCGAATAAATAATTAGAGTGCCATCTAAAAAGAGTAGGTCCCACTACTAAACAACTCGCACTTCCCTCTCACGTGTAGAAAGATACTTTTGGAAAAAGGAAAAAAAAATAAAATAAAAAAATAAAAAAAAAAAGGGCCGAGGCCCCTTGACTCATTTTAGTCCATTGAATTCATCACCGAAGAAAAAGAAAAATCATCCCCGAAGAAAAGTAGCAGCCTCTGTCGAAGAAGAGTATTGATCAGGTAAGTTTTTAATTTGTGAGATCTAGTGTTTTTTGTATGGTCTAACTTATTAACATTATAAATTTTATTTTATTTTTAAATTTATGGAAGGTTTTTTTTTCTAATTTTTGTAAGGAATCATATATTTTTAGGTTTATTATTTTTTGATTGAACAATAAATTTTTTTTTATTGAGAAATTCATACTACATTATATTTGGTTCATCGATTTGAGTCAGATTTGAAGAAAAAAAAATGTGTCCCACCTTTTTTTTTTTCATTTTCAAATCCTTAATAATATGGTTGGTTCATAAATTTAGGTAAAGATTTAGAAAAAAAAAATGAAAAGGTGGATGAAACATGAATGGAATGTATTTATATTTCATTTATTTTTTTCTTTTTTCTTTTTTAAATCTTTTCTCAAATTCATAAATTAAACAAGCCTAAGGCTATGTTTGGCATCCTCTTCTTGAGTTAAAATAGTCACAAAAAGACAAAATATATTTTTTAGCTTAATAAGACAAAATATCACATTCAAACCATAATCATTTTATTTTTTCTCTCACAAAAATTTAAAAAATTTAAAAAAATCTATCTTAAATAAAAATTTTTAACTTCAAACTAAAATAATTAAAAGTTAAAAATTAAATTCATATTCCAAACGAAAGCTAAGGGTCTGCTTGGTAACGTTTACGTTTTCAGTTTATATTTACAAAACTTTCATAAACTGGTTTTTGTTTATTTTTAGAAAAATATAAACTACAAACGCGTTTGGTAATTGACAAAATGTTTAAAAAAATTTAAAAATATAAAAAAGAATGAGAAATGGCAAGTGGTGGCAAGTGGCGACGGAAGACGGTGGTGAAAAGTGGTGACAGTGGGTGGTGGGTAGCTGGTGGTGATGGGTGGGTAGGTGATGGTGGCGGGTGGTGGGTGGTAGCGAGTGGGTGGTGGTGGTGGTGGTGGCGAGTGTTGGTGGCAAGTGAAAGTGGTGACGGTGGGTAGTGGGTAGCTGGTGGTAGTGGGTGGTGGCGGGTGGGTGGTGGTAGTGGGTGGATGGGTGACGGTGGCGGGTAGTGGGTGGTAGCGAGTGGGTGGTGGTGGTGGTGGCGGCGAGTGGTAGTGGCAGGGTGATGGTGGTGGGTGGGTGGTGGTGGTAGGTGGTGGGTGGTTGGTGGTGGGAGGTGGTGGATGGTGGGGGCAAGTAGATGGCGGGTAGTGGTGGCGGGGGACGGGGGGATGGCAGGTGGGTGGTGGTGGTGGCGAGTAGGTGGGTGGTGGGTGGTGGAAGACGGTGGTGGAAAATGGTGACGGGTGATGGCTAGTGTTGGGTGGTAAAAAAAAAAAAACTGAAAATTGAAAACGGAAACACATTTTTTGAGTTTATATTTTTTGGCCAAATTTATAAATTGAGACCACTAATTTATAAATCAAAAATTTACTAAACAGGTTTTTATTTAAATTTTTTAAATTTTTATAAATATAAACAAAAAACTAAAAACGTAAATGTTACAAAACGACACTTAAATGTTTGTTAAAAGTCTTCAAAGAAAAGAAAAGGTTGAGACATGGAATCCACAAGTGTAAATTTGTGTCCCACCTTTTTATTTTTAGTGTATCCTTATTGTGTTCTATTATTTTAATGAAAGTTTGTCTTGCTCTGCCTCAAATTTTTTTTTTTTTTTAATATACATGTGCTCTGCCTTAATATCAATTGATGGAATTGGGACATACTTCTTTTGGTACTCTTTTGCTCTATATAAATAAAATTTTTATTTTAACTTTAATGTCTGTCCAACGTCTTGGAAGATTATTTTTTGGCTTGAGAGATTTGTACAAAAAACAAGGGATCCACAAGTCCTCTTCTTTCATTACTCTCGCCGTTTTAAAATTATTATTCTTTTATTTTATTTTTTATTATTTTAAAATATTAATTTTAAAAAAAATTAAGGATTAAAATAATATAAA